CTCAGAAGTGCCTTGCTGGGGAGAAGCCACCTTGGTGTGACCCTTTTGCAGGGCAATTCTGACTCTTAACAAAGCTACCTACCTATGTAGTTACCTTCCAAAATCCCATGCCTAGAAATCCATTGTGATAAAATATTTCAAATAATATGAAAACATACATGCACAGGGTAATTCACTATAGATTACTGGTAATGGTAAAACATTAGAGATGAGTTTTCTAACTTTTAATGCACTAAGCACTAAAAAGAAACAGAAACAAGCTGCCAGATAAACCAATTTCTATCCAGGAAATTAACATTAATACAATACTATGAATATTGAATATACTTCATTCAAATTTCACCAATTGTGCCATTTATGTCCTTTTCCTAAGCCAATCTAGAATCAGGTAGCACTTTAGTTGGCCCTTCTATTTATTCTATTTGAATTAGAAACAGATCCTCAGTCTTGTTTTTCTTTTTCTTTTTCTTTTTTTTTTTTTTTTAGTCTTGTTTTTCAAGATCATGATATTCTGGAAGAGTACTGGCAAATTATTTTGCAAAGTATATCCCAATTTAGATTTGTCTAATGTTTCCTTATGATTAAATTAATGTTAGGCATTTTGCTGAGAATATCCCAGAGGTACTGTACAACATAATACTGTATTATTGAAAATCACTGACAGCAGATTGTGAAGTCTTCTCACCACACAAAAAAATGGTAAGGTTGTGAGGTAACGTATGTTTTAATTATCTCAGTTTAACCATTCTACAATGTACACAAATTTCAAGACTGCATGTGGTAAGTGACAAATATCTACATTTTTATTTGTCGATTTTTAAAAAATGAATTCATTTTTAAAAAGACAAAAATACCTCAGGATAAATCTAGCCTCTTCACTGCATTGCATAAGGCAGGAGTTTTGGTTTGTAAAGTTAATAGCATCACTAATTTTGATCAATAAAGGTAGCAGGCTTCAAGAAGGGGCAAGGGGCAAGACAGCACGAGAATGTAGAAGTGGTCCCCAAGATGTGCTTATTAACAACAAACAAGTTTTCCAATTTAAAAATGTATACTGCCTTCAGAAGACTTTCTGCAGGGTTATGGATCATTTGTGGTATGCTGTTACCATCTAGAGACACTTTCACACACTGATTTTATCTCAGGAACTAACAAGCTCATTCTGTGCTTGGATATACGTATCCAAAGATTCTGGGAAAATCAGACACTCCAGAAGTGACTAATACTTTTGGAAGCAGTTTTAAATCATATTCTAGGTAGACTTCAGCCAGAGGAACTCCTCAAAGTGACAAAACTACTAACTCTAAAATAGACTAAACACATTGGGGTAAACAAAGCCAAAAGGCTGAAGATGTTTAATCTACAATGTCTCCTTCAGTCTTTGTGTCCTACAGAATAGGAACAGACTGCTGAAAATGACAGCAGTGAGAAGTACCAGCTAATCAGATGGAAGGCTGACACAGGAAAACGACAGAAGAGCAAAATCACAACTCAGAGTACACAGTACCAATGTTCAGCAGGTTGAAAATCTACGCATTTCAACAGCTCCTGCCAATACCAGTTACACATACAATAATTAATATCAGAAGGATGACAAAGGGCCTACCTATATGACAGTTATCAAAAAAAGGTTAAAATGTATTCCTTCTAAAAAGTATAAAATATATTCGGAAAAGATTGCCTTTAAAACTATTAAAAATGTTCTAATTATTTGAAAATATAACCTTAAATTATCTAATACAACAAGTACAAGGGACAGGGATGTAGTTCAGTAGCACAGTGTCTGCCTGGCAAACACGAGACCCTGACTTCAAGTCCTGATACCAAAAAAAGGGGGGAGAAAAGACCTAACATAAGTACTAATATGTAATGACCTAATGCAATCAAAAAGTGAGACCAGAAATCTCTGTGATGATACTGTATAACACCAAAGAAACTCACACACTGCAATCACACACTAACACCAGATGGGTTTAGGAGGACAAAAACCCTTGAGACAGACTATAAAAATATATGAACCTACAACCACAGCACTGATTTTAAAAATAATGTGAAAACTACCAGCACAATTAAAGTTTAAACCTACCATCAACTCCAAGGTACCTTTTCACTTTGATAGACATAGGTATCTTCTGAAAGATACTTCCAAAACAGCTCATGTTCACCGGCACTAGAAACCTGACTTTCTTTATACCATTAAGTAGCATTATGGCTCTCACTAGTGAGGACATGGTAAAAAGCCATGCTCTCCAAAACACAACAACAAAAAAAATCCCTTAGAGTAAGAGCCAGAATTTGGACACAGGAGAGCATTCAATAACTAACAGAGACACAGAATTAAATACCACTATCAAACTCCCAAATCTTGAATTTGCAAAGGTAAATGGAGGAGGAGATGGAAGATCTACCTGATTTTCCATAGTGGAATAAGTTTTAAACTATTCATTGACTCTATGCTGAGTTCAACCCAGTCAATGAACTGGTTAACAGCCCCCACCATCACCGCCACACACACACACACACACACACACACACACAATTTTCACGGAATTGTCCCTTCACAAACTGTTTTGAGGGACTAGCATTCCAAAGAATGTTTGAGAAGAGTGTATTCTCTTTTTTTTTTTTTTTTTTTTTTTTCCTTTTTGAGACAGGGTCTTGCTCTGCAGTTCAGGCTGGCCTTGAGCGCCCAGGCTGGTCTTGAACTCGCAACGATCCTCCTGCCTCAGCCTCCCGAGTGCTGGGATTACAGGTGTGTGCCACCACGCCCAGCCGAGAAGAGTGTGTTCTGAAGTGCTTCTGACTAAAGAAAGTTTAAGACTAGGCTGGATATGCAATAAGATCAAAGCAGAAAGCATTGGTATAGTCCATTCACTCAATCTTCCCAGGGAAGAATTATGATCATTTTAGAAATGGCTTTTCAATTGTGCAGTATTTATAAAATGAATAAAATAAAATGTAATCCTCATAGAGGAAAAGGAAGCATATTTTCTTCCACACAACACCAAGTATGTCATGAGATTATTTAAGAGGAAAATATTTTAATATGTTACCTATTATTTTAAAAACTGACATGAACAAGTTATATCATGTACAGGTACAAATTCCCCATGATGAATGTGATCATTATGTATGCCTAACATGTACCAATAAACTTAATTAATAAAAAAAAAATATTCACATGATTTGTCATCTCCTACCCCTATGTAGAGAGAGCATTTTCTTACCTTTTGAAGGGCACAGCTCTTTTCAGAACCACCTCCACCTCAGCAACATTTGCCTTAGCAAGATCTGCCACAGTAAGGAAGCCAGAAGTGTAGAGGAACCTGGCTCGCTGCGCATTAAGTAAGGACACCCGGACCAGGTCACACAGCTCCCGCTGGATGCCAAAGGTGAGGCGCTTCTGAAACTGGGAAAGTAACAGTTCCATGTTGTGCCAGCCCAGACGGTTGGAAAACACTGTAATCATCCCTAGAACATTGAGAGAATAGTGCTGAATTAAAATTGTCTTACAAACCAATTTTCCATTTCTTAGATACACGTTCTTGGGGTTTGTTTTTTCCTGTACAATTGTAAGGCTTAACAAGGCCCAAGGGATAAGTTAACAGGACAGCAGACACATTCTGAGGGCCTAGATAGTCAGATAATAAATGTGCTAAACACATTACGTGGCATCTCTTTTATTCTTAATTCAAAGTTACCATTTGAAAACTGAGGTAGAGCACATAAACAGAAAACAAAAAAGACACCATCCTAGCCCATCCTTCTCTTTCACTTTCTCCCTTTCTTACTTTCTTAAGGAAGACAGACCTCTAATAAAACAAGTAAAGGAGGGTTTTGTTTTGTTTTGTTTTTTACCTAGAGGAAAACAAGAGTTGATTTAAATATTCAAATACTGACAGAACTACAATATTTGCTTCAAAGAAACTCCGCCCAGCTCAGCAACTACACCCTCTTGAAATAGAGTTCTGGCATCTAAGTGCCAAGTCATTATGAAAGTCACATTAACCCTAAATGAAGTCTCAGATCTTTGAGGTCAAGGAGCTGAAGGGTGAGTCCCTTGCTTCTTACCACCCTCGGCCTGTCTTGCCCTCTGCACTCCCTCACATGCTCACATCTTCACAGCAAAGCTCTTACACATCTAAATATACACAACGGCTTGAAGGATCCCTTAGTAAAATTAGACCCAGAATTTCCCTGTTTGCCTAGCTTAGAGGATATGGGTTTCACACATTATGGCACACTAGTGCTTCTTTTTCTTTTTCTTATTTTTACTGGTATTTCTTAAGAGAATAAGTATTTACAACAGTCAGACAGGAGTCCGTCCACAAATTCTTCTCCATCTGCCACTATTCTTCTCAACTTGCATTAATTGGTACTTTGAGAAAAGCGAGACCACTGCGAACTTGGTCACTTTCCTAACAGAAAGGATGGGGGTGGGGGGAGTCGGCAGGTTGCTTGGGAATGGGAGGGGAATAAGGCCCAGACACTCAGCTTGTCGCCTTATCTCTATAGAGTACTGGGCCCAGAGGAATCATGGTTTTAGATGTGATGATAACAGAGATTACAAGATGAAGGCCACTTTAGAGAAGCTTACAATAGAATGGAATTTGAAGAAAAGTAATCTTAATGATCTCAAACCACACAGGTTAAAATAAATGTGAAAACTTCTGTTTAACTAACCTGCATAAACAGCAGCTGATTGCTGCAGAGATTGGATCTGTCCACGATTACATCCGTATTTCTGAATAATTTTCTTTAAGGGAATTTCACTGATTAAATCTAATAGCACAAGACTGGTGAAAAACCTAAAAATAAATCACCAAAATATGGTAAGATATCAAAATGAAAGTACAATGTACATTTCCAACCAACTAAGAACTAATAAAGTAACAGTTTATACACTCTGAGGATTCCTAACAGGAAATAGGGTTGGTGGATAATGACAGAGATCAATTTTTACATAATAAGTTTGACACGCAGCAGTATAGAGCAAAGAACTAGCATCAATGTAGCACCAAAAACAAAGACCACGTATTTCAGTACTGCTAATTTCAATACATAAGCTGTGGTTCAAGAAATATGATGACGCAAGCCAGGCGTGGCAGCACATGCCTGCAATCCCAGCACTTGGGAGGCTGAGGCAGGAGGATTACTGTGAGTTCGAGGCCATCCTGGGCTACAAAGTGAGCTCAAGGCCAGTCTGAACTGTGTAGGGAGATCCTGCCTTAAAAAGACAAAAAAAAGAGAAAAGAAAGAAAGAAAGAAATAATTAAAAATTCAGCTTGAAAAGAGCTTCATATGTAATGGCTGCTAAACTGTAAGCTATAAGAAGAAATTCAAATATCAATAATCAGTAAATACATGAAAATGAAAAATTTTACTACAGTCAGCCAAAACTGTACTTTTTTCGACAATGAAAGTGACTGTAATACACTGAACACCTGTTGTAGCCAGACCCTGTGTTAAGTACTACAGAGTGTAGGCTCCTTGGCGTTTACCTTTTGTGGATGGCCATTTGTCGGTGTTGTCTCTCAGTTCTGGCTACTACTTTTCCTTTCACACAGCGAGCCAAGAACCCTTCTTCAACTCCCACCAGCTCTGCTACCCTTTTCATAGAAGTTGGCAACTTCTCCCATAAACAAAAAAATCGATACCAATCAATACTTGTCCAATCTTCAAACATAGGTGTAACCTACAAAAAGACAGCAGCATTATGAGTTAGCTACACTATCACATCACAGTGAGCTAGGGATTTCACTCCATGGGGCAGTGCTTGCCTAACATGCATAAGCCTCGGGGGCCAATTCCTGGCACCACCAAAAGCCCCCAACCAATGAAGGGAAAACTACCTCACTACAAAACGACCACACATATAAATAGATAAATGTCATAGTTAACACAGGGCCTCAACATTTATTCACAAACAAAGAGACCACCAAGCATACAAGCTAGATTTCATAATACCCAAATCTTTACTCATAGTCATTTTTTACCTCTATATTCCAATTCTAGGTACAATTTTTAGTATTCTGACTAACTACCAAGAAAGAATCAGTAAAATAGAATGAAGAGAAGAAAGAAGGATAAACCAATATTCAGAGTTGATCTTTATCTAAAATGTTTAGGATTCAACAAAAAATAATGAGACATGCAAGAAAGAGGAAGTATGTCCAAACATAGGAAAAAAACAGCTGGCAAAAAAACTTTGAAAGAGTCCAGATAACATAAGCAAACAAAAACTTCAAGGAAGACATCTTAAAATTGTCAAAGAACAAAAAAAGCCATGCTTCAGAGAAGTAAAAGGCATGATGGCCTGTCTCATTAACATGCCTAAGGAGGACAGTATGAAAATCAGGGTCAGGAGGCTGGGGATTTAGCTCAGTGGCAAAGCGCCTGCCTGGCAAGTGCAAGGTCGTGAGTTCGGTTCCCGGTACCGGAGAAAAACCAAAAAAAAAAAAAAAAAAAAAGAAAATCAGGGTCAGATCAAATGAGGTTCAAAAGTTGACAAACAGTAACTAAAATAAATAGAGAGGTCAACCATATAAGCAAACTTGTATAATTAAGAATAAGCAACGATTGGCCAGGTGTGGTAGCACACACCTGTAATCCCAGCACTTAGGAGGCTGAGGCAGAAGGATCACCGAGAGTTCAAGGACTGTGCTGTAAAGTGAATTCAAGGCTAGCCTGAAGTACATAGTGAAACTCTATCTCAAAAAGAAAAAAAAAGAAAAAAGAAAAAAAAACAGCAAGCATGAAGGGAGATTAGTAGAGATTATACAATTTGAAAGAGAGGAAAGGAAAAATAAAAAGAGCCCCAGAGAAATGTGGAAAACATCAATTGTGCCAACATATACACAATGAATCTAAAAAGAGATAGAAGAGAAAAAGTGTCTGAAGGAATTAAAGCTAACAATGTACCCAATTTGATGACTAACATTAATCTACATATCCAAAAAATTCAGTGAGCTCCAAGTAGACAAGATGTATCATAGTCAAAATGTTAAACACTAAAGAAAAAGAAAATCTTGAAAGCAGAAGGAAAACAACAGCATCACAAACAATGAGAACCCAGTAAAATTAAAAGCTAGCTTCTCATCAGAAACCATGGAGGCCAAACTGCAAGGAGATGGCAGATTCAAACTGCTGAAAGAAAAAACAAGAAACCTATCAATCAAGAATTTTATATACCTGGCAAGCCTGAGGTCATGAGTTTGATTCCTGGTAACAAAAAAAGAAAAAAAAATTATATAAAGGTAAGCTATCTTTCAAAACTAAAGATGTAACAGAGAAGTTCCTAGACAAATTCAGAAAAATTTGCTAGCAAACGTGACTTAAATGCTAAAAAAGCTCTTCAGCTTGAAACCAAGTAACCTCAAACAGCAATTACACACAAAAAAAAGAGCCAATAAAGGGAACTCTGAGAATATATATAAAAGATATATAATTGCATAATTCCTTTTTCTTCTCTTGACTTATTTAAAATCAACTATAAAGGGAAATATGGCAGTCTAGACATTTCTCCTCTGCTCAGTATAGTGTTTTTTATTGGGATAGATTTCCTGATAAGTCTTCTTCATTCTAATGTAACTTTCAATTTTATCCCCCATTATTCAAAAAAAATAAGACCTAGAAAAATACCACAGGACAGGGAGATAGCTCAGTGGCATAGTACCTGCCTAGTAAGCGCAAGGTCCTGAGTTCAATTCCTCACACCAAAAAAAAAAAAAAGAGACCTATCCCCCATTATTTGCTTATCACAGTGCATAAATCTGCTCTTAATGCACAAATAATTACTGGTCAGGCTCTTGTGAGAGAATATAATCTCAAACTCTATCCAACTTACAAAATCTTTATTGTATTCATAGAGGATGATATAATGTAAACAAACTTAAAATTTCTAGCTAAATGTATTATAGAGATTTTATCAAAATATAAATCACAGATTGTTACTTTAAGTCTAAATTTCTCTTAGGCAGCAAAATCCAATACTTTTTATGTCACAAATTTTTTTTGAATTTTAGCTACTTTTATTCATTTTTTGGCATTAAAACACATTTTAAGAAATGATTTGATAACTAGAGCTCTTGGTTATGTGAAAATGAGGACCACTGAAGACAGCCTATGGTTGAAGGGAGCCTAGGTCCTTAAAAAAGGTAGAAAAAAGCCAGGTATGGTGGCACATGCCTATAACCCTGAGGCAAAAGGGTCACTGCAAGTTTGAGGACAGCCTGAACTACATAGAGAAGCTCTGTCTCAAAAGGGTAAAAGAAAAAGAAAGTAGAAAAAAAAGTTCCCTATTCCAGGCATGATCTACCTCTGGACTTCTACATACCAGAGAACTAAAATCCTAACTGGTTCAATCCATTGTTAATTTAGTTGTCAACTGCAATCAGACATGGATCTTTCCCAGACTTCTGTGGTAGAGCCTCATTTGAGATACAGTACAATGATAAGACCAAACTTATTTCCCATATAAAGATATAAGAGTTCTGCTTTGGGAATATGGATCCATTAAAGATGGAAGTCACGTTTTAAAAGATATTTGCTTTAAATATTTAGTTTAAAACATATGCATAAGTACAAATGCTAATGTTAAGAAATTTGTGGGTTGTTTAATACTGACAGGCTTTGTCTAAAGAATTTATTCTTAAGGGCTGGGGATTTAGCTCAGCAGCAAAGCACCTGCCTGGCAAGTGCAAGGTCATGAGTTCGATTCCCGGTACCAGAAAAAAAGACAAAAAAAAAAATTTATTCTTACATACATATAAGGATAGGTTAGTGAGAGAGGAGATTACTAGTTATCATGAAATTTGTATACATTTTCTAAAAGATATGACATATCTTTAATATGAAGTATTTCATTTAAAATAGCTAGATAAAATATTTTTGTGGTTCTGAAGGTTGAACTTGGGGCCTCATACATGTTTTTTCAAAATTTTATTTTGAGACAGGTTCTCATTAAGTTGTTCACACTACCCTCAAACTTGTGATCTTCCTGCCTCAGCTCCCTGAGTAGCTGGGATTATAGGTGTGGGCCACCTTGCCCAGCCTTCAAAGACTTCTTAATAAACTGGCAAAACAAAGTCTTATAATGAAGCATTATTTTACCAAAAGGAATTTTGATTTCTGATTTTTTTTCCTGTAACAGTTTTTATTAGTCTTTTCTAGACACTTTAAAAAAAAACAGCTAATGGAGAAATTCAAATTTCTCTAACAGAAAAATCTGAAAAATTGATTACTGTATTTATAACATGCTCTTTCACAGTATTTCAAAAGCAAATCTTAATTTAAACTAATACCTTTAGAGATATTGTAAAACTCAGTCTAATTTTAAGGGTTTGTATAGGACAGAGAATGTTTTATAAACACAAAGAAGACAAAGATAGTGGTGGTAGCCGTATGAAGGGTGAAAATATTATGTAAGCTTTAAAAGGCTACTTTCTTTTCTTATATTAAAAGGCTACTTTCTGCATCTGTACAAATAATCTGAGGCTTCCTGTATCAATTTTATTTATGGACTCTCCATAATTAAACGGTCATTCACTCTCAAGCCCCCACATGGGAAGTGGTAGGTAAATATCTGTAGGAGTACAATTTATTGTCTGCTCCTCCACTCAGAAGTAGCTCTATGTCTGTCCAGTCTACACTTAGAACTTTGTCTTCACGAGCAGCCAGATCACAGAGAAGAGCTTTACAACTTCTTGTATCCCACAGCCTTACAGTGTTATCTAAAGGGCCTGAAATCAGCTGTTGTTCATGTGTTGGTGACCACTTTACTGATGTAACCCAGCCTGTACGTGAGGTTAGAGACAGTGATACCAAAGAACCATCTTTAGTTCAGGGATCCCATAGTCTAATATGCCTATCTGTGCTGCCAGGTGCTAAATGTTTAAAGAGTGGAGAAAAGGAAATACAATTAAACACTTTATTATCTGTCAAAGTTGACTTAAGACGGCCAAACTCAACACCCCACACTCTAATTGTGTGGTCCCAAGATGCACTGCAAATTTCTTCAGCATCTGACCACAGTACCGAGGAAATTGCTTCTGTGTGGCCAGAGGGTCACCCTGGGAGTCCTTGTTAGTCCTAACTACTCTGTTTTCTGCTTCTGTCTTGGAAGGAACATCAATAATAAAAACTACGGGACATAGAGACATTGTAAAAGATGTAGCCTGGGTGAAAAAAGACAGTTTGTCTTGCTTACTACTGAGTGCCTCTACGGATCAGACTATTCTCCTATGGGAATGCAGGGTAGAGAGCAATAGAACAAAAGCTCTACGCTGCTGTAGAGGCCATGCTGGAAGCAGGGATTCTATAGCAGTTGATAGCTCTGGAACTAAATTTTGCAGTGGCTCCTGGGATAAAATGCTAAAGATCTGGTCTGCAGTCCCAACAGATGAAGAAGACAAAATGGAGGAATCCACATGACCAAGAAAGATACCTTACAAATGATACCTTACACTAGCCTTGAAGCAAGGCTAGTGTCTCCCTTTGCTTTAGTTACTAGGAAATTCAGAACTGAAGTTGGTAAGAGCAACTGAATGAAACCTATGAGTATGTCTGTTTAACCTCTGCATGAGTTTTACATTATGATTTATCCTTAATTTTCTGATATTACTGTCCTTTCCTATTCTTGTATATGTTGTAAAATAAATATTTTTAGAAATTGCCTCAAAATACTTTTTGAAAGGAGGCTAGAGAAAATACAGTAGAGGACAGGATCACTGGAACAGTTAGTTTATCTCTTGCTTCTCTGCTCCCACTACTAGTAACCTAGTCAAGCTAAACAGGCAGGACATTCCCTCGGGTATCTTTGATGGTCAAGAGTCTATTTATATTTCTTCCCCTTATTTCACAAAAATAGCAGTTAAAAGAACTTACCAGATAGACAATATGAAGGTCGTTCTCTAAAACAAAGCCCTTCATTGCTCTTTGGAGGTCAGCAAAAACATCTAAGGTATCAGTTGGAGAAAGTGAAGAAGAAAGAGTAGCTGTACCAAGATGTGTTGGATGATACACATTTCCTGGTTTGGGATGGGGAAATAGACAGCAAATATTAAAAATAAAAATAAAACATGGTCTTTCTGTACTCCAGAATTAACCTCAGCTCTGACAAATTTTACAGATTCTTATCCAATATGCAAAGTTTATGAGTAATATGAAAAGAGTTGAGTGAAAGATGAAAGAGTAAATTGCAACTAAGAATCCACATTTACCTTCTGTCCCATTGCTGGCTTCTGTAATCTGAATAAATTCATTTTCCAGTAGCCACCTCACACAGGCTTCAATTGCTCCAAGTTGAACAGAGCCTTGATTTTTCTGAATTCTCTGCTGCTCTTCTTTCATACTTGCAGCCAAAAATGTGCAAGATGCATAAATCTGCATATCGTGTGATGTACTTGCCACTCCACCAACTATTATCTGATAGAAAATGTTTGAAAATTTCTGTAACTTTTTTTTCTTGCAGTACTGGGGATTGAACCCCAGGGCCTTTGCACTGATCTACATCCCCAGCCAGCCCTTTGTTTTCACTATTTATTTTGAGACAGTGTCTTGCTAAGTGACCCAGGATTAGCACAAACTTGCAATCTTCCTAACTCAGCCTCCCAGAGTACAGAGATTAAAAGGTGAACCACTGTGGCCAGCTCTGTAACTTTTTTATAAGACTGGCAGGTCTTCATGTTATATATTCAAAATATTCTCAGAAACTTGTGCACAGACTCTTTAGTAACTCTTCCATCATCACTTGTTACAAATTATAGAGAACAGATGCTGGCAATATGAAAAGTTTCCTTAAAAGGAGATACAAGCTGGGCATAGTGGTGCACACCTGTAAGTGGTGCACCTATAGGTGCACACTCACCTCTTGGGAGGCTGAGGCAGGAGGAACATTGCTGATTCGAGGTCAACCTGAGCTAAATATAGTGAGTTCAAGTCCAGCCGGGACTACATGAGACCCTGTCTTACAAAACAATAACAAAAAAGTAGACACAATACTTTCTTATAAACAAAAATAAATGAATCATTATCCATCTGAAATTTTAGAACTAACAACATATAAAAAGGAAGTAGTGATGGTTCATGGCCATGAACCTAATTAATTCTTCTTACCCTGCCTCTAAAATATATGGACAACTAAGCATGCTACTATTGAATACTTCCCATCCAGAAGAAGAGTGGGAATATGTTCAAAAAAATATGAAGTTGGTTGCATTTTGTAGATCATATTTTCCTACAATTGCCTTATAATATATACTAAATTGCTTCTGCCTTCTTTCACTTAATATACACTGGACACATAAGTGGGAGAGGGAAGTAAAAAAGGATCAAGACCCAATATGTAGGTACAAATGCCCCACATTATTATGGATCATTATACATATATTAATATCATATATACTAATAAAAAAGGGAAAAGTAAATAGAGCTGTCTTGCTCTTTCTAATGATCAGAAAGCATGGTTTTGCCAAAATATATTTAGTATTAATGGTATTTGAGTTTTTCCTAATCATTTTTATTATTCACAAGGGTATAATAAACATTCTTACACATTAAATTTGATTTTATTTCGAATATATTCCTAGGTAAAATTCCTAGATGTGAAACTCGTAGACAAATGAGTAGGTAATTTTTTTATTTTAGTAGATACGATGAAGTTGCCCTCAAAAGAGCTTCAGCAGTGTATGAAAGTGACTACTTTCAACACTCTTCCTCAGCTAATATTATCAAATATTTTCATTTTTTTCAAATTGAAAAGGAGGAAAAAGTATGGGTAGAAGTACTAGTACCACTATCACTAGCGTTGAAATCAAACCAAAGCATGCTAATACATAAAACCTTTTTTTCTGAATGAACACTTAAAATACTAAATGAGGATTATCTTTGAGGACTCTAAGTAGAAAGTTTTATTTCATCACTTTAGATTTTTCTGTGTTGTTGTAAACATCCAATCATGTTATTTGTGACTTGATTTTATTTCAATCTCAAGAGGTATTATATGGATGGAGAAACTATGGTCCATTTTGTCACCTTATTTTAAATTAAAAAAAAAAAGAATATATAAAAACCTTTTAAAAGAATCATATGGCATTTGTTTTTTAACCATTGTTTTGAAATAGACTGTTACAGTACTAGCTGTATTAAATTCTAGATAATACTACATTTCATATATTCATATGAATAGACTCAAACTTGCAAAGGTCATGACTGTAATGATCTTATTTTTATATTTTTTTTATTTTATTTTATTTTATTTTTTTTGGTACCGGAATCTAACTCAGGATCTTGCACTTGCTTGACAGGCGCTTGTGCCACTGAGCTATATTCCCAGCCTCTGATCTTATTTTTTAAAAACACATACTAAAGTTCTACTAATTTAATGTACCTGTAAAAAAAGCAAATGAAAATTTGTCGAACTCTTACCTCCAGAATAGCTCGAATCATACTGGCAGTTACTTCCTCTCCATCCTGTCTTTGCAGACAGCTGCAAACAGGTTTTAAGGATCCCTGAAGTAGAGCTATGCCTTTTGATTTCTCAGAGTTCTTACAAATTAAGATACTCTCACCTATAACCAAAACCACACATTTTCAAAACTCCATGTTTCCATAAGAACCTGCTAAAGAGAATTTAAGTTGTCTTACTTATTTAAAAAGAGCTACCACGTGATAGTTATATGGTCGTTATGGTCACAGAATTATGGCTAATGATTTATTTTTTGAACTTTGGATAGAAAGAAATGAGGATGTGCTACCCCAAAATACACTACTTCGTATAAATACTAATTTGAGCTAAAGGTAATTAGAAAGCAACAGAAAGAACTCTCTATTCTCTCCCCCATCTACCTAAAAGCAGGACATAGATTTCCCCTTGTGTAGCTTTTCCCTCCCATTATTTTTCCCATTATTTCGCATGATTTACTAACCCTATAAGATCCAACACCTTTCCTTTGTCTTAGCACTTCTCCATAACTTACTGACATTTGTTAAAACAGTATATGAGTCTAACAACTTTTTTGAGTCTTCACTCTTTATGAAGATTTCCATACACATAAAAATTATAATATTACTGCCCAATAACATTTATATGTCTTTTTTCCTGTTCAACTAGATTCATTTATTTAGCAGATTCCAGCTGCAGAAAATAAGAAGGTAAAGGAAAAGCTTCCTTTCTTCCCCTTCAGAGTGAACTATTATTATTAAATAGCCAGGTAATTAATAGAAATGTACTTTGAAAACTATAAAAATGCAAAATAAATTACTAATAACATGTATTGACAAAATAAAATTTAAAACTTTTAGATACCTAAAATAGGAAATCACACGGTAACATTTACTAATTGTTATGGTTTAAATATGAAGTATCCCCTAAAGACTCTTACGCATATATTCAGGACTTGATCCTCAACGCAGCAGTGCTCAGAGGTGGGGCCTAGAGAAGTGATTTGATCATTAGAGAACCAACTTCATCAATGGATTAATCCCACTCATTTGCTGATGAGTTCATAGCTGAATGGATTATTACGAGGCAGGAGGGCCAGAGATATAGCTCAGCGGCACAAGGGCCTGCCTGGCAAGTGCAAAGTCTTGAGCTCAATTTCCGGCACCAAAAAAAAAAATTATATACAAATATATACACGCACATAAATACATACATAGGGCCGGGTGTGGTGGCACATGCCTATAATCCCAGCACTCAGGAGGCTGAGGCAGGTGGATCATTGTGAGTTCGAGGACAGCCTGGGCTACAAAGTGAGCTCAAGGCCAGCCTGAACTGCATAGCGAGACCCTGTCTCAAAAAGACAAAGAAAGAAGGTAGGGACCAGTTGAAAAAGTAGGTCACTGACCTCTGAAGGGTGCATCTTGTAGCCAGCCCTCTTCACCTCTGGCTCTGTCCCTTTCTGTCTGCTTCCTGCCTACCCTGAGGTGAGCAGCTTTCCTTGGCCACACACTTCTGCCTCAATGTTTCCACCCTGACACAGGCCTAACACCAACTGGGCTGGCCAACCTCTGAACCCATGAGCCGGAAGAAATTGTTCCCACTTTAAGTTGCTTTGCTCAGGTATTTGGTCACAGTAATAAAAAGATGATCGACCCCACCCCCACAGTAAAAGCCAGGCCCAGCTGTAGTTGCTCTGGATTTGGAAATGTCGGCATGGAGAATTTCAGCCCTCACCCAACTGCCGGCATCCAATGTGGATCTGGCATTAGACTATCCTCTTTACCTACTTGCATGAGTGGGGACACATGTCAACTTAAGACACTCCCACAGCATGGGTAAATACAGGGGCCTCCGGAATCGGGAAGGCACCTTGAAAACCCACCGGCCTAAAAGCCACAGGCCTTCAGGCTGGTGGAGAAAATTGAGAGTTGCTAGACTCCAAAACTGGGATCCCAGAAGGAAACCACTCATTCACAGACACAGAAAGACCAGGCATGGTGCCACACACCTATAATCCCAGCACTTGGGAGTTTGATCCAGGAGAATCACCAGGAGTTTGAGGCCAGCCTAAGCTACATAGTGAGTTCAAGGCCAGCCTGAACTACAAAAGAAACCCAGTCTCAAAAAAATGAAAAAACAAAACAAAACAAAAAAAAGCCACAACTGAGAAATTTTTTTTGGACTTTCTTTTTTCCTTGCCTTTTTCTTTTTCACTGGTTTACTATAGTTTGGGGAATTTTCCTTTGTCCTTTTTCCCTGTTTATTTTTTAATTTCTTTTTTTCCTTTTTCTTACTTCTTTTTCTTATCTCCCCACTTTTTCCTTTCTTCTAATTTTTTCTCTTTTTTTTTTTGTTTTTTGTCTTTTTGAGACAGAGCTCATTTTATCTCACTTTTTCCTTTCTACTTATTTGTTTTTCTGTTAGCTTCATCTAATTCTATAACTGTCTTCTCACTCTCTAACAGAATTCTTTGACTCATTTCTCTTTCCTCCTTCTCAACTCGTATAGTCTGTTTTCAAATTTCCATCTTGCATTCTCTAGTTCCCAACCCCCTATACCTTCAATAATATGACCATAACTCTATTAATCTTCAGATAGTTAACTCTAATTAACACTGAACTCTATGCTACTATTAGTGGAGGTACAGTTGTCACATTTAGTACAATTAACTATACGTCAATATCTAGGCTGTCTTAGTGTTTATACTGCAATTGTACATTTCTTTCCTGTGGTTAAAGGAAGTACATTATTGGTTCTTAAGGTATGTCAATATTCAATTTGTCTCAGACAATATTACTGTATGTCATTTGCTCTATCTATATGACCACGGCCACATAATTGTTGCTACTAATGGATTTTTTCCATATACCAACACCCAAATTACCTTTGTGACAGTAACAGTACTGCAGTTCATTCCCAGAGAACTGAGAGTTGGAAAAAAATGTACTGCATCCTCCTCTCCCAAATTAAAAGAGAGAGTCAAATCCTGGGGCAGAGGCAAAGGACAACAGTTAGTCACCCCTAAAGTACATCACTGAAAAGCAGACTAAATAAGCTATCTCCATACTAGCAAGAAAATCTTCACACTATAGGGTCCACAAACCTCACCACAAAACAGACACTCAAAAAAACAATAGAAACATGAGAAGGCAAAGCAATAAGATGCCTCCCCAAACTCCCAACTATCCCAAAAGCCCATCCTGTGGACATTAAAGGGGAACATGCCAAAAGCCACACAACTGAATTACTTGAAAGGTAACAGAGGAGAAGGAGATAACCAAAGTAACAGAGGAGATTAAAAAAAATACACCAAAGAGGTGCTCAAAGGGATCACAAAAGACATAACCAAACAAATAATGAAACCAATAAACAAAAGATCAGGGAGCACTCAGGAAACACTAATGAAAACCTAGCTGAGCTAAACAAAAATTATACAAAATATGAATGACAAGTGTAGCAAAGAATTAGAGCCCATGGAAAGGTTTCAACCAGAAATCCAAGAGATTAAAAATTATATTGAAAGTATGGGAAACAGAAGAGGCAAATAGAACATAATTTCAAGATTAAAAGACAGGGATACTTTCAAAACTAACTACTCAAACATACCTTAAAAACAAGAAGAGAATAAGAAAAGTGAATCCATCAGCTGCTAGAAGACACAAAGAAGACTAAGATTAATTGGAATAAGTGAAAAATCTGAAGATAACACAAATAGCATAAAAAATGTTTACAGCAATAACACCAGAAAACTTTCCAGATATAGAAAAAGGAATAAACAAATAGATAGATGAGAAAGATTTAATCTCAAACAGCAGGCATCAGAGGTCCTGTGGACTGGGGTCATGAGAGCTGTTTGGAATCCGTAAACCAGGAGGACCTTGAGCAATATCTAGGGAGACCATTCTTCCCCTGACGGTACAGGCTGTGGTGGAGCTCTGGAGAAGTCTGCAGCAAGATTCCTGCTGCCTGTGCTGACAGTTGGGGAGAGGACACTAACTGGTTGTGGGGTCCCAATGCGGGAGGCTGGAGAGAAAAAGCTACAAAGAATGGCCTTCACCCCAGATGGCTCACTTGAGATATTAGTTAGATTGCCTCCTCAGTATTCCATAGCCATGATGAGGAGGAGGCCAAGGAGAGAAAACAAAGAGATCGAGAAAAAGCAGCTGCTTTTGCTGCAGCACTAAGAGAAACAGACCCCAGGTCTGATTCCCAGGGCCCCAAGAAGAACTCAATGACTGCATTCATCTGCTACCACTGTTAAAAGCCAGGCCACCTCAAGAGGAACTGCCCTAAGAGGCCCCATGGGCCATGCCCTGAATGCAAACGTGACCACTGGAGATGGGTCTGCCCTCTGAAGTGGCGGCCCCAGAGCTCAGACCCCTCCAACTAGTTAGTCCAAAAGGAATGAGGGGGCCCAGGGCATACTCTGCCTTCTCCCTCTGGCCAGACTGTCATCTCCATCGAGAAGCCCTGGGTAATCATGACTATGGAGGAACAAGAAAACAGCCTGTTGTTAGACACAGGTGCAAGTCTCTTGGTCCTTCTTTTCAATCCTGGCCTTCCTTCCAGCCATCATACCTCAGTCACAGGAGTCACTGGTGAGGAGGTAATATGCTATTTTTGACAACCCTTAGGCTGTAACTACTTGTTAGATCCTTCTTGCGTATCTCTGTCTTCCTGAGAAACCACTTTGAAGATACCACCATGTATTACAGTAGCCATTGATATTTTCCTACCAATCTATCCATAACTCTCCAATGTTTGTATTGTTCCTATCCTATTTCATAAATGGATGCATGTTTATTATTATGTGTTCCTACAACAACCATTGAGAATAGTTAATGATTATTCAATAGGTCACTCATGTATAGTTCTATTTATTTTCTTTAGAAGATACCTAAGTAGAGTACAACAACTATTGATAATCTCTTACCTCTTTTGTCTGTAACTCACTATTATTTGTCTATTTGTTTTCCTGAGAAGCTATCTTGTAGATAACAATATGTAAAACAATAACCATTGATAATTTCCTACCACTTTGTCTGTAATTTGGTAAGCCCCCCCGCATTATTATGTTATCCTTCTTTTACTCTTTAAAGGAAAAAATTTTCAAAAATTAAAAAATAAAAAATAATCTCAAATAGCAATGACCAAAAGAGAACCTACCCCTGCCACATCATAATCAAAGTGTCAGACATCCACCACAGGGACAAAATATTAAAAGCTGATAGAGAAAAGCAACAAATCATACTTAATGGTAAACCCATCAGAATCGCAGGAGACTTATTAATACAAAACTCAAAGACCAGCAGGGCTCGGAGTGAACTGTTTAAAAGATAACAAAGCTTTAAAAGATAACAATTTCCAACCCAGACTTATGTATCCTGCAAAGCCTTCCTTCAAAATTGATAGAGAAACAATATATTTTCATAACCAAGAACACTTTCAAGAAATTCATGACTACCGAACCAGCATTACAAAAGACTCACAAGGATATCCTAGAAAGAGACAATGAAGCTAAAAGTGGCAGTAAGTCAAATAATATAAATATGCTTGGCAGAGCGAGCAGCTAAGCAAAAGAGGAGGAAAGGAACTTAGCAACAGGGAAATAATGCATTGACATGAAAAAGTCAGTACTTTCAGTAATAATCCTCCATGTGAATGGTCTGATATCTTCAATCAAAAGACACAGGTTTGCAGAATGGACCAAGAAATAAAACCTAACAATATGTAGTGTATAAGAAACACATTTAATTAAAAAAGAAATTCATCAATTAAAAATCAAAGGATGGACAACAATATTTCATGCAATGAGAACCCAGAAAAAATGCAAGAGTAGCTTAGTGAATTTCAAGCCAAAAAAAAAAAAAAAAAGAAAAGAAAAAAAGCCCAACAAATCACAAATGAAATTAAAGAAGAAATTATTCCTGGTACTACCAAAAAAAAAAATAAAGAAGAAGAAATTAGACAGTTTCTACAATTAAATGATAATGCCAATACAACATACCAGAACTTATGTAATGGATGTAGTTCTACAAGGGAAATTTTTTTTTTTGGTACCAGGAATCAAACTCGGGGCCTTGTGCTTGCCAGGCAGGTGCTTGTGCCACTGAGCTGTATCCCCAGTCCTACAAGGGAAATTTATAAATTCCCACATCAGAAAAACAGAGTGAGCCTAAATAAATAATCTAATGATGAACCTCAAGCTTTTAGAAAAAGAAGAGCAAGTGATGCTATTGAGACTAAGAAAACAAAGAATCAATGAACCAAAGAGTTGTTTTTTTATGAGATTAAATAAAATAGATAAATCTGTAGCCAACAGTATCAATACAAGGAAACAAAAGACTCAAATCCATGCAATTAGGAATGAATCACAATGGATCCTGCAGAAATCCAGAAGATCCTCAATACCTACTTTGAGAATCTGTACTCTAACAAAATGCAAAAGAAATGGAGATTCCTTGGTACATATGAATTACTAAGACAGAATCAACAAGATATACAAATTCTAAATATCCCAATATCAGCCAATGAAGTTGAAGAATTTAAAACTACCAACAAAGAAAAGCCCAGATTCTGATGGATTCACTGCTGAATTCTACAGAAATTTAGAGAAGACCTAATGCCACTACTTCTCAAGCTCTTTAAAGAAACTGAAAGGGGGGCTGGGGATTTAGCTCAGTGGCACAGCACCTGCCTGGCAAGTGCAAGGTCATGAGTTCGATTCCCGGTACCAGAAAAAAAAAAAAAGAAAGAAACTGAAAGGGAAGCAAAACTCCCAAACTCATACCTGGAAGCAACCATTACCCTGACAGCAAAATCAGAAAAGGACCCAACCAAAAAAGAGAACTACAGGCCAATCTCCCTAATGAGCACACACACAAAAATCTTCAATAAGATCCGGGCAAACAGAATGCAGCAAATCATCCAGAAGATTATACAGCATGACAAGGTAGGATTCATCCCAGGGATGTAGGGATGGTTTACCATACACAAATTAATAAATGTAATATCCCACATTAACAGAACCAAGAACAAAACCACATGATTATTTCAACAGATGCAGAAAAAAAAGCACTTCATAAAGTCCAACAGCCATTCATGATAAAAAAAAAAAACACTACAGAAACCTGGAATAGGTCTTTATTGCAATCTGATAAAAGCCATCTATGACAAAAAAAAACAGCCAAAATCATACTAAATTATCAAAAACAAAGCTGTCACTCGGAAATTAGGAGCAGACAAGAATGCTCACTATCACCACTCTGTTCAATATGGTTCTGGAAACATTTGCTAAAACAATTAGAAAAGAGAAATAAATTAAAGGAATAAAGATAGAAAAAGAAGCTAAAATTAATCAAACAAGGCTCTTCATTCTTAAGTCAAAACTTTTGTTTGACTTTGATTGCTGGTAATATTATCATTACTTGCTGGTACAAGGTAAGAAATTGGCTAGTTTATTTTCAAAGCCAGCACCAATTTAGACTGAAAAAAGATAGTATACAATGAAGCTCTTGTTCCCAAAGTATGGGAAGTTCTTAGCATCCCAATTTGACCTTTGAGACCAGTTGCCTAAGCAGAACTAATATGCATGAGAATCAAATAGTGCTAAAGAACAGACTATACTTAGAAATTAAAAATCATCTCCCAGTGAATATAGTAAGAAATCATCTTCATTTATAGACACTGAATCATTTCATTACCTAGAATACAAAAGAAAATTTTAACTCTACATTAGTAGAAAACCAACAGTTAACAATATATGACCAGCACTTGGGAAGCTAAGGTAAGAGGATCGCCGTGAATTTGAGGCCAGCCTGAGCTACAGTGAGTGAATTCAAGGCCAGCCTGCACTATAGTGAGACCCTGCCTCAAGAAAACCAAAATAAAAAAAATGTATGAAAATTATAATTTACGCTCACCGTAACTATTGAGTCCAAACTGATGACATTAATACAGTGCTAATAGAGATATGTAGCACACTGAAAAACAAGTTGCCAGGTACTAGTAAAACTTCAAATACATCGACACTGTTCTCCTTTTTTTTTGGTACCGGGAATCAAACTCAGGATCTTGTGCTTGCTGGGTAAGCGCTTGCACCACTGAGCTATATCCCGGGCCCCAACACTGTTCTTCAGCAATGTTATTACAAGTAAATTTAAACTCACCCGTTGTGTCTACTCCTTTCCTGCCAGCACGACCAACCATCTGCTTGTAAGTAAGAATGTCGAGAGGGTGACCACTGAAAATAGGAGTCCGAATAATCACACGACGAGCGGGTAAATTCACCCCAGAAGAAAGAGTAGAAGTTGCTGCCAGAACCCGAAGGAGACCTTGACGGAAGGCTCCCTCAATGATATCCCGCTCCTCAAAAGTAAGACCTAAAAATAAGATGTTTCAAAAACACGTATTAACATACAATGAACATATTACATTTGACCCCTTACAGTAGATCTGAGAGTCTGCTACAAGCATCTAGAGTTCTTTCTAAGCTATTGTTTAACTATAAACCAAGAAGTCACATAAAGCAGCCACAGAACAAACGGTTACAACTGTGTTCCAATAAAACTTAGTTTACAAAAACAGATGGTGGGCTACATTTGTGTGTATAAAATTTATTTTAAATTTTTATCCTGATATAGATCACAATATAAATTATATATACATATATGAAGCAATAAAAATTTAAAATATGAAAGGACTAAACTCCTATCCTTAAAAACTAAATCTTCTTCATTATATCCTAAGCACATATGACCATGGACAGAAAACTTCCCCAAAAAAGTTCTTTAATTCAGTAACTATCAAAATTTTTGCAATTTTGACAACCCATCCATTTCATTTTTAAATACTTTAGCTCTCCCCAAGTGCAACATGACAATTTCTAAAATAAATTTGTTTTTGAAATATCTGTGAAAATATCTTAATACTCCTTGTAGCCAGCCTGGTGGTGCACGCCTGTAATCCCAGCACTCAGGAGGCTGAGGCAGGAGGTTCCTTGTGAGTTCAAGGGCAACCTGGGCTACAAAGTGGGTTCAAGACTAGCCTCTTTTTGAGACCCTGTCTCAAAAAGACAAAAAAAAATACTCCTTGTAATAAAAGGAGACACCCAGTACAATATAATTAGAGTAGCAAGTACCACAGTAACCTAAATTTTAAGAAAACAAAACACAGAAAGGGAACAATTTTAGAATCTTCCTCCCCAACAGTTCATAAAAGCCTTTACCTAATAGCTATATGCTACACAGATAAGTGACCCTGTTTGTTTTACTCTTGTTAAACAATACAGTTTCTTAAATGAAATCTAAAAGTATGAAGCAGTTAACAGGAAATAAACACATAAATACAAAAATGAAGATGCTGAGAACGTTTTGAGAGGGCTTCTTAATAACAGATTATAATAGAATACCTGCATGATGAAATGCTACTCCCCATGGTACAGTTTTTTGTAACACAGAGTCCAGTCCTGAAGGTGAACGTTTCAATTGATCTACTACTTCCAGGAGGCTCTTTGGTTCCAGAATCGGTGGTGTAAATTCAGATGGTTTTGCTACTCCTGTTACACACACACACACACACACACACACACACACACACAATTAATATTGATCAACACTGTTCACCTCTTAAGTGCTATGTGCCGAAATCATGACAGAGAATGCCATGGCAATTGTTCAGAAACCACCGCAAACTATAAAATACTGACCTCCAGATGCTATAATATACCTAGCCTGGGGCGTGACCTGGACCTGAATCATTTTTAAATCTCCCCCAGTGATTCTAACATGCACCACAGTTTAACATCTATTAGGATGTTATCAAGCCCAAAGGTGAGGAAAGGAATCTGCTATAGGAAAAAGGGGACTACAGAAACCAATTGCTACTCAAAGCTTAGAAGTCAAAATCTTTAACGCCTATAATCCCAGCACTTGGGAAGCTGAGGCAAGAGGATTGCTGCAAGTTTGAGGCCAGCCTGAACTGCATAATGACACCTTGTCTCAAAAAGACAAAGAGAAAAGAAAAGAAATCAAAACCTTTACTCAAGGTGTCCCACAAACCAGCAGTATCACTGTCACCTTGAAGCCTAGTTTTCTGGGAATATCCGTCCAGTCTCTACCATATTAACCTGATAATCACACACTACCTTTTGGTTTTGCCTTTCTGTGTAACCTTCTCCCCAGTAAGACCTTAACTTTCTTAAATGCAAGAACTGTTTTCCTAAAGAATTTCCCTAACCTTTAGATTTTTGAACTTGTAAATTTTCATAAAATATATTTTGTGTCTAATATATTTTTTAAATTTTTAAGTAAACTTTTCTTAAAATTTTGAGGAACCACAGAGGGTTGCCCATGTTTTATTTTGCTAAGGACAACTAAAAATGTTTTCAAACTACTATCAATATATTTATTTCAGAAGCCATTTTAACATTTAAAAAAACAGTGGGGGTAATTTTAAATTTTAAACATCAGCTTTATGAAAAATGTGCTGCTTTATCTTTGTTATTCTGGTAGAAATTTCATCATAGCCCAGGCTCCAGCTGAAGCACAAGCACTTGGGAACTACAGTTACAGATCAAGATTACAAAACCTCAAAAAAAAGATAAAAAATAATGAGTCTGGTCATTAAGGAATGAGTTGTTATGGTACAATGTAAAAACTACAAATTAGCATGGTACAGAAAGCATCAATTTTTTTTTCTTTTTTGGTCATTTTGAGACAGGGTCTCGCTATGCAGTTCAGGCTGGCCTTAAGCTCAGTTTGTAGCCCAGGCTGGTCTCAAACTCACATCAATCCTCCTGTCTCAGCCTACCTAGTGCTAGGATTACAGGCGTGCGCCACTACACCCAGCCAAAAAGCACTGTTTGAGCCAGGCTTGAGATATCTGTTACCCCCACCCATGAGGCCTCTGACATAATGAAGTAATGCAATATTCTAATATCCTGTAACTAGAACTGGTTTGTCTTCCCTATATTTATTTTAGGTCCCAAAGGACCACAGGCTAGTTAGTAAAAGTACTGAGACAATAGGGTTCATCCTTGAATCAATATGAATATATACTAATGGTTACATTATGCACTGGGTTAGCATCGAGCGATCAAAAAGGAAGAAATTATAAATGCAACAACATCAATGAACCTCAAAAACATTATTCTAAGGGAAAAAAGCTACAGAAGACATATATATATGCTGTATGACTTCATTTACACAAAATTCTTAGTTTCACTAAGTACACTGTTTTAGAATGTAAAATCTCATAAGGTAAAAATAACTGATATAATTTTCTAAAAACTGTATAGTAATAACAAGGCATTTCAAATTCTCTAAGTCCAGATATAAATTGAACTAGATCAATCAGCCTCAATTATAAAACATTTTACATATTAGCTGAAATGAGTTGGAAAAAAGAGAAAAAAAACCAAAGTGACAGAAAGCTGCCAAAGTAGAGGAAGGAGGGTGACATCAAAAGAGCAGAACAGAATACTTTGGTGATGGAACTGTTCTATGAATTTGATTATAGTGATGGTGAAATAGATGTCTGCATTTGCTAAAATTCATCAAATTATACACTTAAAGAGGATACATTTTATTACGTATAAACTATACCTCAATAGTGATTTTAAAATACATATGAGGCCAGACATGGTGGCACATACCTGTAATCCCAGCATTCGGGAGGCTGAGGCAGGAGGATCACTGCAAGTTCAAGGCCAGCCTGAACTACGTAGTGAAAACTTGTCTCAAAAAGACAAAAAAAAATACATTTGTGTGTGTGTATATCTACACATACGTCTATGTGCATAAGATTCCTTTTAGGGTCGCACCTTTGGAAATGTCAAGATGAGCACTTTCCAGGGGTGGGAGGGTATACTATAAATGTAGTTTGGTATACAATTTAGGAATTCCAAAAATCAGCCTCTCAAAGCCCATAGATCCCAAATGAAAAACCCTGGTATACATCTATATCAGCACAGTACTCTAAAAATCTGAAGATGATTACCCCAAGAGTGTGCACACGTTGTCTATAAGAAGGCAGGAGACAGTGCGACTCACAAAAGCAGAGCTTTGTACAGGGGTGACTAGTGCACCAGCAGGAGCCATAACAAAGGAGTCATGGTTTGTTAATAGAATCACTAACTTACTCTCTTTATCAGTACGTGTTAGCAGAACGTGATGTTTACAGTCCTTGTGGGGAACTGCGACTTGTACATAACACATCTTAATCCCTTTTCAGTCCCTCTCCCTTCCCTCCCACACCCCTCCATCCACCCCTTGCAAACATACTACCAATGGAGTCTTGCATTTCCATCTGTAACTCACCCTTGGCTTGATGGTGTAGACTGTAAAACTCTTGAGCAATGATATCTGCCAGCTTCTCACACCATTTTTTTGATGGACAAAAAAGTAATACTGAATGGTTATCACAAACAGTCTCATAACATAAACTAACAACATGCTCCTCATCTCCCTAAAAAAGAGAAAAATACCTACTTCAGTGATACTTTCAAAACATTCTCACATCACCAGTTTCAAATTACTCATTTTGTTTCATAGGCAAGGTTTCTGTGTTCAAAACAATAGTAATAATTTTAAAAATTAGTAACAACAAAAACAAAAAGTAAAAAATAAATTTTATGATGCAAGGTGAGCAGGAAAATTTTTTATGTGTCTCAATAACATGTACTGAGCTCCAACCCTGAAGCAGTAGGGACATACCAGTGAGCAAAAGAAAGTCAAAGTCCTAACTTCAAGAGGTTTATAGTCTCACTGAGGGACACCTTAAAGTACTAAACTAAATGTAGCCGCGCATGCTGGTGCACACACCTGTAATCCCAGCATTTGGGAGGCTGAGGCAGGAGGATTGTTGTGAGTTCAAGGTCAGCCTGGGCTACACAGTGA